TACACAGAGCAGGTGGAATCTTTTCTTGTGGTCCAACACATAAAATCACCTACTTACCTGGAGGAGTGGGGAGGGAATGGTTATGGGGGACCACAAAGTCTGCTGGATTAGATGAAAATGTTGTTCCAAGAAAGCTCAGAAATACATTTGTGTAGTTTTGGGGCAGAGTTGGGTGTCTCCTTGCTTGTTAGTCTTTTTGTCTGTTTTGTTATCAGGTTAATCTCCATGAGATTAACATTGACTCGCTCAAGTCAATGACAAGTGAGCGTGGCAGTAAATTCTTCCATGTCAAGAAAAAGACAAATTGTACTGTACTGCATATTGTGGTATAGTACTGCTAATTGCTGAATTTGATAAATGTCTCCTGATAGGTTCTGTAGTTAATGAGCAAAGATGTTAATTGCCCTTATCTGAAATATCTGTAGTTGCAGGGACTTTCTCTGGAGCCATGGATGTCTTCTAACAGAGATTTATTTCGAATCAGCCATTGTTTTCAGCAGTTTCAGAGTCCATTACCCTTCAGTATCAACTGAATAGTCTCCACCTCCATCAAAGTTTTGAGAGCTCTTCCTGTGTGTTATTTAGCAGGTCTGAATCTTATTTGGGTATGGAAAACTTACATGTGGCACAGCATGCTCAGCATCCTGGGCTGCAGCAGGAGCATGGCTCATTCTCAAGAGCAGCCAAGAGAGAAATAAGCACCTGACAGCAGAAGAGAGAGGGTCTGGAACAGCCCCATTTCCCCCCCACCATCTGGAGTATTTAATTGGGAAAATCATTCTCCCTTGTTGTTGTGTTGGTGGGAGTTGTCAGACTAAGTATGTTTTAGTGCAAATAACCATCTCTATTTGTAGAATTCATCTTTTCTGGGTGTCTTCTTTAGAAAATATGCAGCTGAAGATTTAGTGCATTATTATATGAGTAAGTGCATACAAGCCTCATATTAACAATGGACGTCATGTTTATTCTTTCCCTTTTAGAATTTCCCATGGAAACAAGTGGGCAGATTTTTGCATTATTGAGTAGTTTGCTGCTGCTGACTTTTCCCAGAAACACAAGAGAAAACCAGGCTTACGCAGGAACCTGCATGTTCTTCCAGTTTTGGGAGCACTGGATTCCCCTAAGATTTGATTTGTAGTAGGTTTTGGTGTGTGCCTATTCTGGTGCAGAGTTTCAGAGCTGTATGATTAATAAATCTTTGTGGAATTGAAAAAAGACCAAGTTAAAACATACCTGATTTCCCAGCAGAGAAGTTGCATATTTTGTTAGGGGCTAAAGGTTACTGGGAAGAGAAGAATGTTTCCTTATGAGGTTTTTGTTTGTTGTAAGAAATTGCATTTTCATTTATTAATCTCTTACAGTTTTTCAGAACATATTCAACAGCAAACAGCCAGAAGTTCAAACTGTAACTGTAAATCTGTAAGCTGACATGTGTAGATTCTCTGGCCAAACTTTCTTAAGCCAGGATTAATTTTGTAGAGTGAAATAGAAAAGTCCATTATCTTGCTTCGTTTCACAGATATCAGACTTTGCCAGGAAATATAAATCTCTTTTCAAAAATGACAACTATAAAAATAAGAATTAATGTTTTCTTAAATAAAGGCATTTTCAACTGAGCTTGACATACTGCTGTTCAAGATGCTGTGGCTTTAGACTGTCTGATACCAATAATTAAACTGAGGTATTCAGGTCCTCAGCTCCCCCTTCCAAACGATATGCTGCCCCTAAGTTATGTTAACATACTATTTTCTGTTTCATGTTAGAAATGGGGCTGAAGGAGCTCAGAAGTAATCTGGCACAAGCTGGATGGGTTCCCTGATCTGCCTGACGCCACAGCCAGACAAATATTTGTACGGGCAGAGGCAGAGACAAAGTGGGTGGATGGAGGTGGGAATGCTGCTTAAGACTGGTATTCATGCCAGATGCTTCTCAGTGGTGACCCACTGAAGATCTAGCTCATTATTGGTGTTTTCAAACCTCTGAATCCACATTTCTGGCCTGGTGTGTTGTTGTGATTTGACTTTCCCATGGAGAGACCCGGGGGGAGGATGCAGTTCTGGGGGGTGGGTGCAGGCGTGAGAATGTGCAGCACTGGCGCTGCTCATTTATCAACCACAATGATTCACTGTGATTGACGTTCACGTACCTGAATGTCAGAATAACCTGTGTTTTAAGAGAAACCAGTGACTCAGGCTGTGGTTTTACCTCAGACCACTTCCTGATAAATGGCTGAACTGTGCTTAGTCTTGAGAAAACACTGCTGAGGAGCACAGCTCTGTGCTTGTATCTGTTTAGGAGCTGGCCCTGTGTGTGGAGAGATGAGGGAAAGGACCCCTTTGTGTGGGACTGACCTTCCCCTTGTGGGTGCCGTGGTCTCTCTGTGAGGAGCACCACAGCTCTGTGAGCTCAGCTCTGTTTTGGGGCTTCCTCAGGGCCTTTCTGCCCAGCCCTGATGTTGGAGTATGGTCCTCAGTGTTGGACAGCAAAATTTTAAGGGGCTTTATACAGTGATAAATTACTGTGCTTTAGACTCTCTCTGTTGTGAAATAGAGGTGAAGCTGCCTATAACTTGTGTTTTCAGAACTGAAAATATTGCATTTCTTAAAAGATTGTGTTTTAGTGAAATCAGAAGCAATGCATGTGATGATGCTTCCAGGGATTGAAGTATATTTAGGCTAATAATTTTTTTAGTAAGATAGCAAACAACTGTATGTGTGTTGTGTGGCTAGATGGAAGGTGTGGACATGGGATCATGTGAATGCTGCATAAAGTACCTCATTGGCTTTCATTTAGACTGATTGATTGACCATTTTGTGGTTTAGGTAGTCTTCCCATCCCTGGCAAACTGCAGAACTCTGCTCCTCCATTCTCCTAAAGGAGAAGGACTGTCTTGTGAGAAGAGGTCTATGCCTGGGATGAAATCCTTGTGTATGGCTACAGAACTGTGCTTCAACTGGCTCAGTTGTCTTTAACGCTGTTTAAGTGGATGATTTAAGGTATAGGAGGAACTTCTCTTGGAAGCAGCTTCTGTGAGAATTCCTCCAATCCTCTTTGAAGTTAATAGAGGGTATTAAGGCCAGTCAGCACCTTCTTAAAAGAGAAATTTAAATTCCTTTGATTCATTTCATTTTTATTTGCATTAACTGCTTCTGGATCTCTCCCTTCTCCAGTCTTTCAGAGCATGTTTTTGATAACTTTGCCTCCTGAGCATACTAGATTTTATGTTGCCTGTTTTGATATTTTTCCCTGAGTGTTGTAATGCTGATTACCAGAGGATCTTGGGCCTTTGGCTTCCTGTGAGAACGAGATAATTACTCTCCAGTAGGCAACTCATGACGTACAGTATCAGTATTAAGCCACTGGGATTCCAGTCACCAGTGTAGAACAATATTGTGGGTAAATGAATAAGCAGAAGTTTATCATACTTCCTGCATAACAAGGTTTTCGTTAAAGAGACAGTGAAAATTGTTTTCACCCAGGGCTGGTGCAGAGTGAGCGCTGCAGCAACAACCGTTAGGGAGAGAGATATTGAGGTTGGGTTCTGTGGCTGGCTGGGTTTTTCTTGCTGAAAAGACAGCTGAATTCTTGTGGCAGCAAAGGTGGGTGACAGGGCTGTCACTGCATTTCTGGTGGATGACGTTCATGGGCTTAGAAACATGTATGAAATGTAGAACTCCAAAGGACGGTTTCCAGATGCACCACCTACTTAACTTATGGAAGAAAGTTGTACCAATTAGAAGCAGAGACGTTCCAAATGCAATTTGCTTATTTCACACTCGCCCCCAGGAATCCTGTGTTGTGATTTTTAGGAGCTGGCCTTGTTTGACCCTGAAATAGATGTGGTTGCCTCCCTTGCCTTCGTTATTTCAAGACTGTCAGTTAAAAATAACTTATGCATTGGGCACAGTGGGAGTGAGTTTGAGAAGTTGAAGTTATATGTAAATCAGTAATAGTGAGAAAATAATTCATAAATGTAATGAGCTCTATTCTCTTGAAAGACACGGTCAAGTCTATGGTTTATCCATGAGGTGGGATTAATTATTTTTGTATTAAACTAGTTTCTCTGCCACAGCAGTACTGATCAGTTCACTTATGCTGTAGCACAGCAAAGTAAATGATGCCTTTGGAGGACCTCTGTTAAATATTCAATTACTTTAAAAATGACTTGCATAAAGTACAGAGTATGTATGCTTACTCAATAGATACATAGCTATAGCACTGTGTATTCACTTAGTTTAAGATATAATTTCATGTAGGCTTGCATAGATAGATTTATATTTCATCTTATCTCAGAGATAATTGTACTTCTGTAATCCCTAGGAATTAAAGGGATACTGAGAAGTACTTTCATGTTTGTCTTCCTGCAACTACCAGTTTGTATTGTACATTTAAGTGCAAAATGCAGTTACTTACTTGTGTTTTAGTTGTGACTTTCATTTTAAACTGGACATCAGCACTATCTTCAGGAAACCACTGCTTATCTGTAGGCCAAGATGAGAATGTTGGTTGCTTTGCTTTTGCTTGAGTCTGAAACTTGAGGGCTGCATCTTTGGAGCCTCAAGAACCACTGTCAAGTGAAGGAATCTGGATCTTGGTGATGTGGTTGATCAGAATTGCAGCTGGGGAATGTGTGGAATAAAGCAGCCTTGCAATGGGACAGTGCTGATCTGTCTGTGTGACTGAGGTGCTTCTGCATGGACAGACCCTTCATAGCTGAGTTCAACCTGCAATTAGGTGCCATTGATTTTTGGGTCCAGGACAGGTTGACATTTGTGTATTTCACTGGCCTGGTTTTGTTTTTATGTGGGTGATCTTAACACTTGAATGAGTTGGAGGAAGGTGGCTAGATGGGTCTCTCTTGAATGACCTGGGAAGGAAGTTTGCTTTTCAGTTTGATTTTGCAGATATTTTCAACACCAAGCGTAATTTTCATAGTGCTGTTCTTACTTGGAAATTGTGAAACTTGTGATGGCTAAGTAAACATTTTTTTTTTCCCTTCTCCTTTTGTTTTCTTGCAGCCAACTGGGTACATGGAAAACTCCATTTCCTACAGTGCTATTGAAGATGTTCAACTGCTCTCCTGGGAGAATGCCCCTAAGTACTGTTTACAGCTCACAATCCCGGGGGGTACTGTCCTACTGCAGGTACATAAACATAAAAGTACAACTTCATTTCTCTGTTGCTCTGAACCTCCTTCAACTTCTTTCTGTTTCCTCTGCATGAAATCTTAATTAGATGGACTCAGAAAAGGCAGAGAACTTGCTGCTGTCAAATTATCTAACCACCAGAAATTTTGCTCAGGGTGATAGCTCTGAAGCTCTTTGTGGTGTTCAACAGTTAGAATGGAAATTTTGGGCCATAGTGATTAAACCTTCTTGCTGAATTTGTGCAGCAAAGTGGTGCTCTGTGTAAAGGCACATTGATATGGGCCTGGAATGATTGTATTTTTACATACAGTCCTATTCCTGCATGAAAAAAGTTAAGTTTCATCCTTGAATTAATATAGGAAACCCAGAATTGCACTGGAACTGAAAGATACCTATTAAAAAAAATTCAATCATCACTGAAATATTTCAGTATATTTGTATGGATGTCTATATATGCTGGTTCTCTGAAGTGTTGTTTTCAAAAAGAAGACACTGTGTTTACATTATTCCAGATTTCTTCATCCACTTGAGGCTTTATAGGCCCCCTTAGGTCACTGCAAGTTTTTAGTGACAGAAAAGCACTCCACAGCACTGAGCTTTGGAAATACTCTGGAGTAAGTAGGAAAAGCTGCATTGCCCCCAAAGAGCTTTGAAAGGTCATAACTTAAAAATACCAAACTGGCTTCAGCTTAACTCTTGCATGGTTCTCTCTCATGTTTCTGTACATTGTTTTGTGAAGATAGTTTATCTGTTACCCTTTGGATTTTACTTTTTCAGTGGTTTATACAGCCATGACTGTGGTGTATGTGTATTTCATCCAGGTGGGAAGACAAGCCATGATTTCCCAACAGCTAAATTAGGGCCCTCAATATTGTTAAAATCTTCCTTGCCTAATGCATCAGTGGAATTAATTAGACAGAAAGTTGTCTAAATTTCTCAAGTTGGATGATTTTCTCATGATAATTTTAATTCTGCTTTTTCCATTAATTTCCCTAGTGGTGCTAGCATTTAAGTTTATATCTATTTCAACAGATGAAATAGTTGCACCTGCCTTTCCAAATTCTGTTTCCAAGTCTTTATTCTGTAGTTTATGGCAGCTGCCTTTTTGGGTCTGTACAAGATAAAACTTGAACCCACAGCTTCTTGCTGAGTGGAAAGGAAACTGGTAGGGGTAGACAGGCTGTAATCTGGAGCAGCCTGACATTTGTTTCTTAAAAAAGAGAAAAACAACAAACCAAACACACAAATAATTGTGTTTGTGAAACAGCAACATCTTAGCATGGATACTTTGGTATTTTCTTCAGAAAGATTGGTGTCTTTATCTAACTTCATAGGAACTCATAAAGAAGTAGACTGAGCTGGACTTCTGTTTATTGCTGCCTGGCTGAGCACTCTGGATCAGATTACATTATAACTATGGGAATTTCAGCATAATTCGAAATACAAACTTTAAAAAATGTTTTTAATATGACTTGGTCCTTGGTAGTATCTTGATTCATCAGACGTGGTCAGATTGGAGGGAGTATAAAATTAGATTTCCCTTATACAGTTGTGTATTCACAAATCCAAAACAGTTCTCAAAGTTATGTTTAGTCTGCTGAAGAAATCAAGTTGAAAGAGCTGGATTTATAAAGTAGTTGAAATTTTCTAGTGTATGTAACAAAGAGTGGAGGTACCCAAAAGACATTCCAGCTGAGGAGCTGAGAAAGCAGCCCTGGCAGAGCTCAGTTATTTCCAGATTTGTGAGATACCTCAATACATCTCTGGGAAATTGTGACTTCCAGCTTTTTATGAAATCATTCTGCTCGGCTGATCTGAGCAGCAGCATGCTCTGATGTAATGCCCAGCTCTAGTATCAGGAAGTGTATGATAGTGGAACAAGTCAAACTAGTCCAAAACGTGTTCCCAGTACTGTCTCTTCTGAAGTACACTATTGGTGAAATCTGTATATTTATTTTTTTTTCCAAAGCCTTTAGACAAAGTATGTGTGTGTACATATGTAAAAATGTCTAAATGAACTGTTTTGACTACACTGAATTTATTTCATAATTCTGATGAATATAAATTTTATATCTTGATCTATGTTTTTGCAAAGGCTGCATTGTAAATTCTTTAAAACCATAATAAATAATTTTTTATAAATATAAGGCTAAAAGGAAGGACACCACAGGAAAGCAAGGCAGTACTGTCATGACTGAAATAAATAATTAAATTTTAGATTCTATATATTAAAATATTAATATAAATTTTAATTTCTACATTAAAATTATAATATAAATTTTAATGTTAATATAAATTTTATATTTTGATCCATGTTTTTGCACATGCTGCATTGTAAATTCTTTAAAACCATGGAATATTATTGACATGATCTGACATAAAATGAAGCAGTTCAGTAAATCACAGGCTTTCCCAATTTTTCATTTTTGAGAAGAATTTAAAATTCCATTTTCTGCTTAACTGAAGGCAGTGTGGATTTATGAAAGGCTGGTCCTGCCTGACCAAGCTGACCTCCTGGTGTGACAAGGTGACCTGCTTAGTTGGTGAGGGAGAGGCTGTGAGGTTTAGATTGGCTATTAGGAAAAAATTCTTCACCAAAAAGTGTTCTCAGGGCGCAGGCTGCCCAGGGAAGCGAGTGAGTCACCATCTCTGGGGGCATTTAAAAGATGTAGATGTGGCACCTGGGAACATGGCTTGGTGATGAGCCTGGCAGTGCTGGATTTGATCTTGGAGGTATTTTCTAACCCAAACAGTTCTGCGTGAGATGCCACAGGAGAGCCCCTGTCCATGTTCAAGTTTTCATCCCCTCTGTCTGCTGTCGCCAGGGTCTATTTCTGGCTTATTAGTGCACGGTAATGAGTCAGAGAGGGAAGAGTGCCATTACCTTTCCTTACATCATCCCAAGCCCTCCCATGGCAACACTGACCCATCCCAAGCTATTTTAGCCCATGAAGTCTGACAGGCAGTGCCGGAGGTGATGCAGCTCCCCGTGGGAAATCAGATCACCAGAACAGGACGTGGCTACCTGCCTTTCAGAGGAGGACCTGCTCTCAGGCAGCAGGCAGCCTAATCCAGGCTGGGTTCACACCTAAAAGTCATTTTTGTGTGTGGAGCCCTTCCCACTCAGTGTTTGTTGAATAAGCGCAGCTATCTGAGCGTTTCACTGCCTGGCATTTGGGGATTCCCGTTGTCCCATGTGGGCAGTCAGGTTTCTGGGGATCATGGGCTCTCAGTTTTCTAGACATGCTCAGGGCTTGTGTTTTCTTCCCCCCTGCCAAATGATGGGATCCCTGGTTCTTTCCATGAGCAGCAGTCAAAATCTCAGATTTTTTTTCTTCCCTGCAGTTGGAGGGAAGGTGTTGCTGAAGCTGGCTCATTAGGCCACGAGCTCTTCAGGCCAGGAAATAGGAGCTAAATTTAACTTTTGATGAAGTGTGAGCTCTTTAGTATCAGGAATAGCAGGGCCTCCTTGAGGTGGGCTGGGCTCCTGCTCTACTGCTTTCCCTTTGTAAAGCACAAGATGTAGAGGATGATTATGACGAGGATGCTACCCTTGATAGTGAAATAAGTGGGAGAACCTTTTGAAAGAGATTAAAAAAAAACCTTCCAGTAAAATTTCATGAGCTGCTGAGCACCAAATGTAGGGAAAGTCCCAGGAAAAAAGGCTTTGGTATTTCAGTCACAACAGTACTGCCTTGCTTTCCTGTGCTGTCCTTTCTTTCAGCCTTAAAGCACCACTTCCACCCCTGTTGCTCGTGTTGTTTTATTCATTTCTTGGCAATCGAGTGCAGTCAGAAGGAAAAACAAACAGAGCAGGAAGCCTTGACAAGCACAACAGTCACACGTTCAGCTCGGTGCTTGACCACGCTGTTTGTGCCAGGGAGTCCCCATGGTAAATGTTTCCATTGGGTTTTCAGTAATATTTTATTTTAGTCTCCTTGGAGAACCTGCCTTTTGTTTTAAGTGCCAGTCCAGCCAATGCTATCAGTGTGGAAAGGTCATATAAGGACCAAACCCAGCAGAGGCAGGGAATGTTTTAAGGAGGAAAAGGGCATTTCTAGCAATTCCCAGCAAGTCTGTCTGTACCCTGGGTTGAGGCAGGTTTCCCTTGCAGCTTTGCCCAAGTCAGAGGTCCAACAGTAGGGTTTTTGCATCAGCAATGTGAAGGTTTTGTACAGCTGTGTGGGATTTGGCTCCCTGCAGCCCTGGGACACTCCTCTGTTCTGGCTGACAGTAAATGGGGGCAGAGAAGCCAGTGGTGTTTTATGTGTCCCAGTAATGAATATCAGCACAGCAAAACCCCCATCCTGCTGACCAGAAAGCAAGTGAGGGAGAGAGAGAATCACAGAATAAACTCAGGAGGAATCAAAGCCAAAATCTGGGTCATCAAATCCCATTTATTGCCACATCCATTCAGATGGCAAAATCCCCTAAAAGCACGTGTGTGAAGGATGCTGTTGCAAGGAGAAACTCAGGAACAGTTTGCTACATGGACAAGCCTGTTCTTGTACTCCTTTGAATAACACACATGCCAGTAGCAAAGGATGTTCTAGTGGTAATTTACTGCTCAAGGAATGGCAGAGATCATCACCATAATTTTTAGAGTGCTCTGTTTCTTGCAGAGTTTCAGGTGTTTGTTTGTCAATAACACACGGTCCTATTTAGTCTCCTCCTTGCCTGGGTACAAATTACTGCGGGGCTGCAACACTGGCGTGAAGCAAATTTTCAGTTTCCTATTTTTGTGAGCAAAAAGGAAAACATGCCTTTAAAACATTCATTGTTTTTTAATAATAAACTTGTATCCCTACTCATTGACTAAGAAATGAAGTAGTTGGGGTGCAGAGCAAATGCTTCCTTTTTCAGCAGAGGCATAAATTCACTCATGTTGACCAGAGCTTTGTATATGCAGGCATTTAATCTCTTGCACAGTTTTTCTCCTGTGATCTTTCTTTTTGAAACAGGAGACTTTAATCCTATGAGTAAAGTTTGTACTACAGCGGATCCCAAGTGGATTTTCCTCTCTGATTGAACCTTTACACCCCAAAAATAAGAATATAAAATCCTTCAGAACACAGTTCCAGGATCAGTTAATCTTAAAAAAAATACTGCCAACAGTAGATGTTCTTAAAGTAGATATTCTTCTTCCCCATTGGAATAATAAATAAGCTTCAAGTAGTTTAATCTTCTTGCACCTTTTAAGTTTTACTCCCACATTTTCCTGTTTTCTAAAGTATTTTTCTACTATGTTGTGGTTGTACAAAAACAATGTGAGATCTTGACTGTACAGGAAGCTCAGTTACCATGTGTCACCCCTATCCTGTTAAAGCCACTGCATTTGAGAACAAAGTTATTTGCAGAATTGGGGCCTAAACATACTAAACACACAAGAGGCCTAAACTATTGTTTTGCATACCTCTGTATGTAGAACTGTATTGAAGTACAGTGAAGAATTATAGAATCTTCATTGTACTTCAGTCCTGTCTCATTTATTGTTTGTGACAACAGCAGGCAAAACATTTCCAGCTGAATTTTAAGTAGGAAAGGTAGATGTTGAAAGAGTGGGGTAGAACTGGGCTCACTGCAAGGACAAGGCTGAAAGTAAAAAAGCAACTTTCCTTGTGTGGTCAGAATGCCTAAGGAAAGCCTGGTTTGAAGTATTTTCTGTCTCATTTTCTCCTTTTTATTGTACCCTAGAGCTGAACAAATATAGTAAACTATGCCCTTAGTTGCATGTAAGGGCAGTAAACTATGCAGTAAAAAACTGGAGGTGTCAGTTCCCAGCAAGTGATGACTTCAGTGCAGAAAGCCTTGGTTCTGTCCATGCACATCAGATAAACTGTGAATGTCTGTGTGCAGCCCCATAAAGGAATTGTGGTTCCCTCCACTGCTTTACACTTTGGTGCATTTTGTCAGAAATGTTGCTCACAATAACCCAAATGCTCGAGCCAGTGAGTGCCTGCAGAGCTGCCTGGGCAGCCGAGCACCCACAAGAGCCTGGTGGCTCTTTTTGCATCCTTGCTATGAACTGTCTGTTCCTTTGGTGAGAAGGAAATGCTCCCTGTGGTGCCTGCTCAGTGTGAGCCTGCAGGGAGGAGGTCCTGCAGGAGGGAGGAGTGAGGGATGCTGTGCAAGGGGGGATCTTTGTTTTCCTGTGCAGGAGATGCAGCGTTTCCTGCACGCTGCTGTGGTTTTGCTGGGGTCGGGTGGCCGGAAGGGTGCAGGGCAGGATTAGTCCCTGCAGCCTGTGAGAGAGGGGGATTCTGATGTCAGCATCCCTCAGGATAAGGGGGTTGGGGTGTAGAGCATTCAGTGTGTGCTGAGCGTGGTGTAAAGACCCTGCTGGAGTGGCCCTTGGCCTTCCAGGCTTCTCTTACCTCTGAGTCCTGATCACTAGCACAAGTGGGGGCATTCTCTACAGGTTTGTTTTTCTGTTTTCTGTTCACTTTGTCTTCTTTGTCTTGATTTTCCTGGGAAGTGGTCCTTAATAACAGCCTGAGCTCTGAGTGTTTGGAGGGTTCAGACTCCTAACCTAGAGCCAGGTCCCAGTTTGCTTGGTCACTTCTCTACAATAACTAACTCTGTGCGTACACAGTGCTTGCCCCCACACTTGGAACTTGGTCACTTTGCTAATTTTACTTCTAAAATGCTTTTTGTGTATTACTGCCATAGAGTTGCACAAGTCTTTGCCAATTTTAGTTTTGTGTCTTGCAGCATTCTTCATTTCTTTTCTCCCCCTGTATTTGGAGTCCAGTTGTGCCTCCTGCTCTGCAGGATGCTGTTGTCCTCACTAATAGTTCAGGCTCCAGTCACTTCCAGAATCTATCTACACATGATATTCTCTAATTATTTGCAGTGGTCTTACATTCTGTACTTCTGACATCATTGAAGTAGGAGAATAATTAACAAATCTCAATTTAGGGCTTCAGCGTTTGTTCTTACTTTCAGACCAGGGACTGAATCAGGTTGATATTTTGCCTGTTTGAGTGAAATACTTCCTTCCCCTAGAATAATTTTGATTATATTGATTTAAATAACAATATCTTAGTTTGTATAGTTCCTGTAAACTCAGTCTTATTGGTACAATTGCTAAGTATGCATGAAGCCTACAAAAACCTTCAGTTTTACTTAATCTTTAGAGGGCTTTGATGCTAGAACTTGGAAAGGAGTTTTTTTGTTCTCCTGCATGAGCCAGTTGTCTCCTTGAAAAAAGGTTCAGTTTGAAATTAAATTTTTCAGATAAGTCTGTTGAGGTTTTAGAGCATTCTCTCTGGGCACAGATAAGAAATATCTAAGTATATTTCCATCATGTCTTTTTAATTATGTCAAAAACATTCTTATGCCTTTTGGTGGCAAATTGGTTTTGACCTTTTCATTGTATTAAAATATAATATAAAGTTTATTGAAATGAAATTTTATTTTATAACATACAGGTTAAAAGTCTGTCTTGTGTTATAATGCCCACATATACATAAAATACAGTATAAATAACAGAGAATCATTAAATATTGTCTGACTGAAATATCCTGAAGATCTGCACTCCAAATGTTTTTACAGTTTTTCATTGCATGCAAAAAGAAGAAAATAGAAAAGGAAGCTTTTTAATTGCATTTGTAGCAATTTCATATTCTGGTATGTCAGCATTCTTCTTGAAATTGAAGGTTTTTGATAAATTCTGTGGTCAGCCAAGATGATTTATAATATATTTATTCCTGCTTTATTGCCTCAACATCTACTGGAGGAGCAATTGATTCTCATTAAGATATAAATAATATGTAATACATATATAAAAGGATATTACTCCATTTAATTCAGAGTAATCAGTCCAAATTTGTGTCACTGAACCATCATTAGCTGACCTTGAGATTAAACACATTTTTTGGTAACCATACAGCATTTTAACTTCTGGTATTCCTGCCATTATCAGTGAACTGAATGAGTGTTGGGAGATTAAATACATTCTGTAGTGTGGATTTTGAATACTTACCTGAAATGTGTTGGGGAGTGAAACTTGATAAGTGATGCTCTAATTTGCAAGAAGTATGTGCTTTTTGACTGGCAAAGAACCTCACCTTTTTTTTTTTTTTTTTTTTTTTTTATCATGGATTTACAGGCTAACCTGTAATTTTCAGTGTTTTTTGTAAAACATTTTGAAACCTGGGTAAAAATTGCCCATAGGCAGCGTTAAGGGGGAGCTGGAAAAGCCAAAGGGCATCTCTGCCCACTCAAATATTTCAGACTTATGTCACCTTGTTAAGGCATGCATATTTACGTCACTCTACATGCCTTTATATTTTTTGATACCAAGCCTTTTGACCTTTGGGAGTGTTGAACTGTTCCTCCATTGGCTACGACCTGGCTTCACACTGGGAATTTCTGGCAGCTGTGCTGAATATGGCCAAAAATGGGTGATGGCTGGGAGTGATGATTGCAACATTTCTGCTCTTGCTGCAAACAGTCTGTGCGTGTATCTGCACGTCTGTGTGTGCTGGGCTTTTCACTGGTTTAATATCACTGAAAGAGCTAAGACATTATTTGAATTGCGTTGGGGCCAATGAGGACAGGAGCAGGACAAGAAAAGAAATCAGAGTATGGAAAATCCCAACCCTCCTATTAAAATGTCAGCCCATCTTCCTCCTCTCCTTCCAGTGGTTAATGGCAGAGACAAATACACCCTGACATTAAAGATCTGACCCACACCTGATTGAATTCACAGAGGATTTTCCACAGTTTTTAAGCAGGACAACATTTCACAGGGGCTTAATATTTTGTAAGGTTTTGGTTCAGTATTCTATAATGCAGCAAGGTCCTTGTATCACTGCTTTCTGTGAAAATAAACTGGTTATAATAAAAAGTACCTGTGTGACCTGAAGCACTGGTAGAAACTAATGATTCTGTCTGTAACTTTTCTTTATTGCAGGCTGCAAACAGTTACCTGAGGGATCAGTGGTTTCATTCTTTGCAGTGGAAGGTAAGTTCTGTACTTCATCTTCTTCATTCTCTGCCTCCAAGATTAGTTTTTAGAATTCCCTGTTTGTTCATTGTCGAAGCCTTGAATGGATAAAGTCTCTTCTTGCAGAAACCCTAGATCAGAACATGTCTGCAGTTTTAACATGTCTGTGTGGCTAATGAAGTGGACAAATTAACTTGTTACACAACCCAGCTGTATCAACATGTGACTGGCTTCAAAAAGTAGATAGGCAGTTAATTCACATTTCAACAGAACAGAGATGGGATGGTTTTAGTTTTGTACTGTGAAATGTGATATGCTATAATGAGTACACCTCATCTTATCCTCTGGACTCTTGGGATATTTCGAGGGTTTTTGTTTGGTTGGTTTTGATTTTTCTGAGAAGCTAGGGAGAAAAAGTGTTTTTAGAGTTGTTTATTGTATGTCTAACATCAATCAGTGATGCATCAGTCTGTGTTTATACTTCAGGATGATTTGAAATTAAAGGCAGTTTCCATTTCAGAGACCTCAGGCCCTTTCTCATTTTCAGTGGAACAATGCCCTGAGTAGGGACAGTGGATCACAGTGACAGCATTCTCTCTCCAAAGCAGCACATTCCTCATCAAAAACCACAGCTGCTGACCTTTGGATGGAATCTGTGTGGATCTTTGATGCAGTTAGAAATGAGGTTTGGCCAGATGCTGAGGTTGGTTGTCCTCCCTTGCCTTGCAGTGGGAAACACAAGCAGCAGTTTTCAGCTCAGGACTTGTCTTCAGCAGGGTTTCAGTGGAGTCAGCCAAGCTGGCTGTGCAGCTTATCAAGATTTCAGCCTGCTGACAGCAACCACATGGAAAAATATACGGAAGTCCCTCCCACCAAACTGGTTTTGTTGTAGGTGTATTTGATAGTTGCAAAATAGTTGTGTGGCAAAAGTACAGTGTTGGTGTGCTTTGTGTGGCCATCAGTGTCTGGCAGAATCGTGTTCCAGGCTCTTATCAGCAGAAGCCAAGTGTTGAGATCTCCTTTCCCAGACCACTGGCAAATTCTCCAGGCTGTCACCCCGATTGCCCAAACGAGAGTGGGGCAGCAGTGCTGATAGCAGAAGGCTGGGTTGTGCTGCAGCACTTTATTTTGGCCTCCTGACAGTATCATTAACACAATACCCAGCCAGCCTTGATTTCTTTGCAACTCCTGAGGATAACAAAGCACTTAAAGCATGCAGAGGCATTATCTCCATGTGGGCATTATTTTCTCTCCTGCTTTGGCAGGCAGGGATGATCAGAGAAAGCATGGATGGAAATGATGATGGAATTTCTTTTTCCCCTCACCCCCAGGCAGGATGGTTGTGGTACCAAAGTGCTGGTGGCTCATACCCACTTTGTTCCTGCAGTGAGGAGAGAATTGGGGTTGGAGGTGCAACTCTGGAAAACACCAAGATGTGGTGAAGATACATCATGGCCCTACCATTCAATCCACCAAATAAATTCTTAAAAAAAAACCAAAAAAAAAAAAAAACCAAAAAGGAAAAGAAAGAAAGCAAGCCAGGCTAGACAGAGTGACCTGGCTTGCTTACATGCCTTTCAGTCATGGAGAAGGAGCTTTGCTCTGTGGGAGTTGTTTTTAAAGGAGCATTTCTTAAACTTTCCAGTGCTTCTGACCCAAGCCTCTCATTTTGGGAAACTCTGAGTAATTTAACTTGGTGCAAAGTAGAATTTATTTTTGCTTCCCTGTTTCCCTCCCCACCCCCATTAAATTTGTTTCTGAAAAACAAGTGAAACATTATCTTGATTTGAAAGCCCTTTCCTTTACCAAGAATAGCAAATAGTGTTTTCCCATAAGAGCAGTGACAGGGTTTAGTCACTGCCCAGGTACTTGGCACTAAGAAATTCCTCTTTGCTAAAATGGAGGTAATTTAGGTTTTGTTTTTTTGTTGCTTAATAGTTCAGAGGAAGAGCACCTGGTAGCTCTCTGCTCTTTGGCAGGCTTAAGTGAGATCCCAATGGGCTGGAGAACCAGGACAAGCTGTCAGTGTAGGAGGGGAGTGAGGGAGTGCAGTTGTGTGTCTGCTTTAGTGAAGTTTATCACTTTACTGGCACTGGAGCCTATGACTTTAAGAGCCAGGTGCCAAGGTTCATCTCACTCCATAATTTGTATGGTTTGATGATTAAGCAGGTAGTGAGGGAACCCACAAAAAACAGGAAACCTGTACTTCTGCAGTGGGGCATTTACACAAAGCACCAGGTGGCAGAGAGATCACCACAGCTGTATTATAATTGGGTGGTTGTGCTGATGAATGATATATTTGTCCAGTGGTCTTGCAAATAATGGGTCAAAACATTTCTGTGGGATGTAGAACACAGATGGAAAGTGGTGCAGATAGCTGTAACAGTTGTTCAGGGGAAAACATTCAACAGAGATGATCTTGCTATTGTTTGTACTTGTGTGGTGGGAGCATTTAGGGAGCCCAGCTGAGCCCCAGTGTACTTGGCACTAGATTTAAGTTTAATTTTCTCCTGCCCTGCCCAAACAAGGCTGGAGGAATCCACTGTACAAACAGCAAACTGATATTCTGAGAATTTCCAGCAGTGGGGAATTGCCCTCTCTTAAATTACAGCTATGGGAGCAGATTCATATTCTGTCAGTGTCCTTTTGACTCTTTTTCCTCTGCTTGAAGCCTTGGGAATCAGATGCTGCATGTACCCTGAGCTGCATGGGAAATGGGTAGGAACAGTGGATAGCTGTGTCTCAAATATCTCGGGAAGCTCTTTAGGTTCAGGCACACACTCTGGTTTTGTAGGAAGGTGCTAAGGTCTGTGAGAGAGCTTTGATGTGGTGCAGTTTTAAGGTTTAACATGCTGTGGGAATTCAATTTGCCATCCGGCACCCTGGAAATTATTTTTGTTGTAGAGACAAACACAGAAATAAAAATCAAGAATAATTTCTTCCTGCGACCCAGAGAATAATAAAAGAGATGGTACAGATTAACAGAAATAAAAGAGAAGCAAACATGTAATTATCCATGCTTTAGATCCAGCTCCAAGGGGTTTTATGTGTCATCCAGCTAACTAGCTGTCAAGATGCTTACAGAGCTTTTTAGTTGTGTCTTTTTCCTTGAATATTGAAGTCAGCAGGGTGTAGGGACAGCACAAGTGTTCCTTATGTGGTCATCTTCTCTTTAGGTTTTCCATTTCAAACCCTCCCACTAAGGGTTACTCATAATTCCTCATTTAATCTGGATATCAGTGAGTATCACAACTCCTAAAGGATTATTGGCCACCTCAGCCTATATTTAGAAATCTTGATTTCCTTCAGCTTGTGGCTAAGCCAAACCATCTTTGTCCAGAGAATAAACAGAACATGTTAACAACTCTCCAGCTTCTCAAACATAAATCATTAATCCATTGTGTAAGGAAAGTTCCTCTCAACCAAGGAGGTTGGATTGAAACCATGATACATAATCTTTGGTATGTGGAAGCTGATAAGTCATAACAGCATATCAATAAAGATAACAACACTTTCTGTGGGTGTACAAAAGAGAATAACACATGCAGTTCATTGCCCTGGCTGCATCCAGGGCAGATACAATGGTAACCAACCACTTCTGCAGGGGATGATGGATACAGCTGAACTTGGCTTTGAGAGATACTGGGAATAGTAATTTTGGGAGACACACAAATAAGCAAATACATATTCTTGGTATTTTCCAGCCAGCATCCATCTACTTAGTTGCTTGTTTATGTGTTGCTCTCTTTGCAATTTGTGTGCATTTGTAGTGCTGAGCCCTGAGAGGTCCCATCCTCTGTGGAAAACCTGTGGCCCCATTACACCCCATGCTAAAAGTATTAATCATTAAAAGGTACACTTGACTAATTCAGTACCGTGTTGCATTTCAGTTAGAAAGACATCAGTGAGGTTTTTGTCCCCAGGAATACAGGTATAGATTTATATTTTTTAGTGGGAATTCACCTAAGCTCTTGCAGGGCATGTTGCATTTTTTATTGTGCTTGATAGTGAGCCCTGAACACTGCCCTCATTGTGGGGTGAGTTGCTCGTGTTTTCTGGTCAGCTGGGTGATGCAGCAGTCAAACATGTCAGTTGACAGCCTTTGGGGGAATGTCCTGAATTGACACAGCACTGAAAGAACAGAGCCAGGTCTGCAGGAAGGCATGGAGCATGACTCAAACTGAGCTCTGTGTGCTTCTGACCTGGATCCTTCAGAAAGGCTTGCCTGCATCTTGTCTTTCCCAGTGATGCTTTTTAGCAGTGCCCATGTGTCCCCTAATGAGCGCTGCTGCTGGGTCAGGGAGTTTACACATCTCTTAGCAAGGACAGTGCAAATGTGTTAATTGTGGGATTGTTTGGGTTGGAAGGGACCTTTGAACATCATCTGGTCCTCTCTCCACCCACGCCACGCTTGTCCTCTGGCAGTGCAGGGTTTGTTTGGGGTGGTAGGAGGCTGCAGAGAGCCTGTGGAGCCCCAGCCCAGGCACATGAACCCAGCAGTGCTGGGCTGGGGGCAGCAGCCCCTTCCCCATCCTGTTCATACAGCCCAGCACACCCCTGACCTGCAGTCACATTACCTTTTGTTTTAAAATCCGTTTTCAACCCAGACTCCATGTTTTGAATCCCATGAATTAGGAAACTGGAACAATGTTGTCATTTGGGATTTGCAGACGTTTTGCATTGAGTATTAAAACGAGCGATGTTGGCCTTCGTTCAAAAACTTTAATTTTGGATTAATACTTCCCCTGTTCTCACAGGGATTGTTCTATCTGTGTCTTCAGGAAACAGATACTTCCATGCACAGGCAGCCCTTTAAATTGCAAAGGGATTGACTGTCAAATAAAGTCATGGTATGCTCTCTGGTCTTTACTATGACCATGTTATGAATTTCTTGTTAATTAGTATTTTTTATGCAATAGCCGTGGATGACTATCAGTTTTTGTATCAAATGGTGAACGTTCAGAGTTGAGTTACTCTTCTTTGAAATTTAAAACTGCAAAATAGTAAGTTAAGAGCAA